ACTGGATGAATCCCAAACCTGAATTAAGATTGCCGGAAGAAATATCAACAACCTCAGAGATGCAGATGATACCACTCTGATGGCAGAAAGTGAGGAGGAATTAAAGAACCTCTTAATGAGGGCGAAAGAGGAGAGCACCAAAAATGGTCTAAAGCTCAACATCAAAAAAGTCATAGTCAAATCTATGGTTTTTCCAGTAGCAATGTATGGAAGTGAGAGCTGGACCATAAAGAAGGCTGATCGCCAAAGAATTGATGCTTTTGGACTATGGTGCTGGAGGAGATCCTTGAGAGTTCCCTGGACTGCAAGGAGATCAAACCTCAGACAGGGTACTACTGTGTGTCAGAGTACCAACCTGATAGGTTCAGGTGTCTGTGGGTTAGCCAGAACTGATAGGTTCAGGGTCTGTGCTTCAAGTTAAGGGTTCTGTGTGAACCAAACTGTATGCTTGTATGAGTGAGAATAAGCCACGTTACTTTATTTTATGCACCTGATTGTTTATTTTTCCCTGTGTGTATTTAAAATAAACCTTATCCTTTTTATTGTTTAAAAATCCATCCCTGGTCTGTGTGACTTCTTAAAGGGAATGGTTGGTGGCAGCTTAGTGTAACTGTGTGACAATGGAGTGCCTCCTTGTAGAGCACCTACCTCACAGGTTACATATGCTGAAGGAGAGAGATATGTACCTCCAGCATGCATACTAGAGCAGTGGCTATTGAAATGGTTGAAAGGAAGATATAAAGAATCAATGGAACTTATGTAGGAGGTCACTCACTAAATCCCCATTGCTTTAAAGAGCGTACTCTAGTGCTATTTACTATACTAAGCAACAGGATTTTAGCTAAAGAAAGCCAGTGTTGCTACTCTAACTGTATTGAGGTTGATGGACACTGGACCATTTCATGGGGGGGGGGAATGAAGATTCATACAGGTACTGAAATACCGACAGATTCAAAAATATAGGGATCAAAAATATTGCAGGAATATTTTAATAAAATAATATCCAGACCTTTAAAAGAGCTTCAAACTGGGTGTCTTCATGGACTGGTAACTGGGTCGGGATATCACATTCATTTTGCCCATGAACTACCAGAGTTTTGGTGCCTTTAAAAACAATGCAATATAATAATGTAATATAATTTGAACTATATTGCATCTGATTAGAAGGGACAAACCATTTCAAATTTCAAGTAGCTATTATGATCACAGGATCCCCTCGAAGTACAGACAATTTACAAACAGAATGTATGCTAGGAAATGGAAAGAAATTACACAGCACCACCTATTAACCGATTCCACATCTGCAGAGATGCTAAGACCAACTTGGGTAAATAACACAGGTGTTCTAGTCTGATAGGTAGTCTAAAATCAACCACTTGTTACAATGACTCTGAAGATTAGGCAAAACGGTGCGAATTTTATGATCTTTCAGCTACTATGCATAAAAGTTGCAATGTAAAAGAACATGAGATACAATTTCTTTGTTGGCATGGGATACTGAAAAAATCTGCCCTGGGGTATGGTTGAGGACAAAATACTTAGCCTTGCAAATGCAAAAAGAGGATGCTCTAAAGGCTTAAGTAAACAGTCTTGTTTTAATCATCCTCTTAAAACCTATAAGGGAGTCAGCCAGATGCAGCTCCACTGAGAATCCATTCCAAATGGAAGCGGCCACAACTGAGAAGGCAAGTTTATAATAAAGCTATATTTAGTGTTTTTTTTTAATGGTTAAAATTTTGAAATTATTTCATAAAAGCCCCATTCATGGACTATCCAAACCATAGCAGCAATACTGTAGTGCTACAGTGGCAAAAGTAGGCATAAAAAGCAAATTCTGACGAAAGGCCCCTGGAGGATCTAAAGACAGTGAATTCTATACCTGGCATCGAGGCAGTAACCAGCAGCTTTACTTCACATTGTTCCTTCTTCATAGTCTGTTTGAGATCTTTGAAAAAAAGTCCTTCTACGTAGCCCACTACTTCCCAAAGGAAGGTCAGAGTTGCTGAAATGGCATCCATGCCCCATTCACATGGTGTGCGCACAAAATACATGATCAGTCCCACCTATAAATCACAGAGGTTACACATTACAGTTCAGTTTTGTACAGAGCACATTGGCCTTGCATGTATCAGCTCAGTCCTTGAGACTAATGTATGGTAGTGGGTGTGGGTGGGGAGGGCATGACCTCGAGGGGGACACATAACACTGCCAAGGTCACAATTATGGTCTGACTGATTCTTCCCAGTGTTTGTGGGCACCCTAAAAGATTCAAAATAGAGAGGAATGGCCTGTCTTAACCTGGGGAGTAAAATCAAAATAGATATAAATCAACATTGTGCTGATTGGAAATGACAGCAGCCCTAATCCCCCCCCTTTTTTTTGAGTTCTTGGTGATGCTTTCTTCAATGCTGAATGACAGCATATCTCCCCTGTTGTATTGCATCTTCTGTTTTCCTTTGGTAATCACACAACTATATGGGTCAGAACAAGTACCACCTCCTGAAAGGGATAACTACATAAAACAGGGGTTGGGCTCCTGCACTTTTAATAGTTGCACAGAAGCAGGAATGTCAACAGGTTATAGCTGTCATGACAAATCACTCCTGCTGAAATGACATGTTCTGAACAACTTTAAGAAGTGCAGGAACTCTGCTTTACTTTTCATGTGGCCATCCTGCATCTGAACCACCTTTATTTTGCATTTGTTATACTTTGGAAATGCTCAAACAGTAGAAAAAATCCAGTATTAAGTTGCAACGAAAGTAGACAATGAATTAGTGAAACTTATTGAGGAGTTGACTCACCAGATCCTCACTAATCCAATGAGACTAATTCTAGTTGCAACTTATTACTGGTTTTCAGCCATTGCATTCTTGCTTTAGGAAGCCACATGATAATACAATTGAGACTAACTCAATACAATGAGACTAACTCTAGTTGCAACTTATTACTGGTTTTCAGCCATTGCATTCTTGCTTTAGGAAGCCACATGATAAATTGCCATTTTAGAGACTGGAATGTGCTCTAGATTATTCTAAACAATGGAAGATATTATAAGGAAAGTCATGAGTTCCTTAATTTCAATTTTGCCTCTGTCAGGAACTCATGAAACTGCATCTCTCTCAGCCTCAGCGCCCTGAGTCTGCAGTATATAGATGAAAATGTTTAATTAGTTTATGAGTCTGCCATACGGTTGACCACATTCTGAACATTCTAAAAGCATTAAACATGGGATTTAAAATACTATTCTTGTGTGATTGAACGTTGTTGCCATTTTGCTACTTACCATAATCAGTATGTGTGATTAATAGTATTAATTATGTACCTTCAAGTTGATTCCAAATTATAGCAACCCTTTCTATAGTTCTCTAGAATGCTCAGAAGTGATTATCATTTCCTTCTTTGGGAGACATCCTGGGATTGTGCAGCTTGACAAAGGTTACATAGGACACAAAGGTTCTCCTAGGACACACAGTGGGGAATCAAACTCCCAACCTCTGGGCCTACAGCCAGATATCTAACTCACTGAGCTGATGCATGACTAGTGAAGTAAAAGTGAAGCCTTGGTCCATAGTTCTATCCAGTGTGATAATGTCATCTAAGAAGATAACTTATAATAAAGTAAAGATTTTATACATCCCGGGTGTGTGTGTGTGTGTGTGGAGAGAGAGAAATTTTATACATCCCGGGGGGGGGGGGGGAGAGAGAGAAGGAATAAAAGAAAGAAAGAGAACAAAGCCACTATAGTCTCTGTTTTGAGAACACTGAAAGCCAGAAGCACAGCGACAGAAGACCAGCACACAAGTCACTTTTCTTTATTAATTGTGACATTGAAAATAAACCTGGAAGTTCCCATGAAAATTATATTCCAATAGTTAGAGATTGGTTTCTGCTGAAGACTCTGAATAACTCACCAAATAATTAAAGAGGATATGGGATGTCTGAGCAGGGAAGTCTCCAATGTTGAGCAGAAGTTTCCTCAGCATATACATCAACTCATCCTGGAATAAAAGCACAATTTGTTTTCAGTTTTATCTCAAAATACTGGCTGAAGTGCCATTGCTTAGCAAAGTATGTTGCACTAGAGTAAGCCCATTAAATCAGTAGGGGTTTGGAAAGTCACCTTCTCCATAAATTCCATTAATTCCAAAGGGCCTACTCTAGTGCAACTTACTATGCTAAGCAATAGGGTTTCAGCTACTTGGAGACACCTTAACTCTTTCTTCAGAGGGATTCACAAATGAACATTAATGCCTTCCATCTACCAGTTTTTCTATTCGCATTAAGACCAGTTACAATAAAGAAAACACATGACAGGTAAATGCATTTAGAAGTCTCAGCACTGCAAGGTGGACTTCCTTCCCATTCATGATGAAGACATCCTGCTCTATAGAACAACTAAATGACAGCCCACAAAACCAAGACAGTTTGTCTGGGTTGGGGTATAGTATTGAGCTGTGGCTAATTAAAACAGAAGTAAAAGCTTCCAACTGTTTTTTGAAGTTACACAAATAGAAGGCAGGGGAGAAGCATTTGGTAGCCTTAGGTCTGTTCTCGTGCTGCTAAATATATTGCTTACTCCTGCATTGAAATGCAATCCAGTATCTGGGTTCTTCTCAGACACTGGACAGGGCCCATACCTGTCGATTGCTGATTGTTAGTTTCTCCAGAAAATGCCGAAGAACTGTAGAAGGGTCTTCAATGAGACAGTTCCATAGGACTTGCTGAGCCACAGCACTGACTACACAAGACAAAAGAGAGGTGGTGTAGAACTGACTAAGAAAAAGGCAATGGCCAGAATCCTATTGCATTACCCAACTGCTTGACCACAGTTGCACTGGCGATAGGAGACGTTTTGACAGCTGTCTGTCACAACCCCCACTCCAAGGCCTCTAGGTATATGAAGGGTCTTGTGACTTGATTGTTAAGTCAGGTGTTATGTGTGTGATATTTTGCAAGAAGATTTTGGCTAATCTTTCCAAATATAAAATCTGTTGGAACAGGCACAGGCCTGCCCTACTTATTTTCTCAGCTGGACTAGGCTCTGCCCAGCTATTTGTGATTTAAACATTTCAATGACAGTAAATAGGCTGATAATTCAACTGTATAAAACCTCCCAGCAAATTAGGTCTGAAGAAAAAGGAGGAAGACGACACAGAAGCATCTGTGTGGCCATCCAGAGATCTCAAAAGCCTGCACATATTTTGTATTCTTTTAGTTGACCTGATATAGCACATGCACCATATAAATATTGCAGAAGGATTCCTCTGTCGGCTAGATATTATTTCTAGTTGCTAAACCCATATACTGTATATATTTTAGGTCTCATACTATTGGTTTGATTCTAGAAATCTTTAAACTTAAAAAAATACCTGCTACTCCATCTTCTCGGACTTCTCCATCTTCCATTAAGTGAACAATGGGGAGCACAGCTGCACAGATACATGCCGGGAATACTGCCTGTGGGGGTTGGGGTACATGGTGATTTGGTGTGTGCTCAGTTGTACGTTCTTCATCTGGAAGCGGAAAACAGAGAGCACATGAAACCCTATTTGACTTTGGATCTCCATCTCCATCTATTCCAAATGTACCTCTAGGCTGAATTAAATCAGAAAACAGGAAACAGAAACAAAATTCTATGTCTCAACCTGACACAGTGGTGAGATTCACACATTCAAAAAGGAGCACAGAATTTCAAAACATCAATAATCTACCTAACATAAGCATCCTCCCTCCCTCAACTGTTGCCTGATAGCAGCCACTGTGTAGAGAGAATCTGTTCATCACCAGGGCAGAGGAAATCACAGAAAGACAAACAGGACATGAGAGGAAGCAAAATGTGAGGAAGGGTAGCACCAAGAAGTGGGAATATTTTGCCCATGATCCCTTCAACTTTGGCAACACCACTGAATGCCATTCCATCAGACACAAGCTCCACCACAATTCCCCCTGATCCTGAAAGTTTCCCCTTCCTGTTGACTTCTAGATCACAATCCAGTGTGAGTCTCTCTGGGAGACTTTTCAGCATAAATAGACAAAGCGAGAAAGGTGAGTGTTGGTAAATTTATTTGGAAAGACAATTGACTTCTAAACCAAAGTTACCTTACCTTCAGCACTGACTGCCGAACGCACTGACCAAACAGAGCCACGGCGGAAGGAGTAGTTCCTATGAGATGTACTAGAAGTACATGATGGACTCACAGAAAGACGGCGGGATGCCAGATTGGCAACTTCTTCTACTGACAAAGGTGAATAGAAGACATGGAATTCATTTCACAAATCATGAAAGAAACAGAGCTATTGCAACAGTGAAAATCCTAGCTCAGCTGATTTCATTAAAAGGTATAGATGATCACCTGAAAGGTGTAGGATACACTTCATTCTTATTAATACTTTCAAAAATAATTAATTTATGGGTTTTGTGGCAGCCAATGATTTTACTTTTCTTTGGACATTTCATATTGCTGCGGCGGTGAGCCTATTCTCCAGTTCATTACAAATAAGAACTTCCCTATCAGTCCAAAGAGGTCGATGATGGTGCTTCAACATGGGAAATCTCAGTGTTCCCTTACTTCTAAATAAGGATACAATGAGCCTTTGCAGATTGTCTTGTTCTCTGAAGAAACGGAGGCACCCATTTGAACAAATTGTGATTCATTCTGTTCCTAAATGAGAAATGACCTGGGTTTTCTGTTTGACTGGTCAGGAGCAACATTAGCACACAAAACAAAGAGTTTTTGTGTAAAAAAAAAACCAACCCTGGTATTTGTATTGATTTCATTGGTATGCAAGGTTTCATGGCAAAACAATTGCACACAAAAAACACACAATCTCAAGAGGGAAAAATCACTTTTTTGGTTCTCTTTGTGAGAACAAAGTAAGTGAAGACTTAGACATTTAAATTTTAAGCAAGAGCCATAGGAAATGTCAGAGTTCAGTATGGAATTGAAAATCTCTAATGAGCCATGATTCACAGCATTAGAAAACAGAGCAGGGCAAGTAACAGCAGAGGTGAAAAGTACAGAGATTGGGACCAAGGAGAAGAATAAAGAGAAATTAATTACTTTGCTCTGTTGCTTTCCCAATCCAGGCTCGGTCCCTGCAATTGCAGTTTGGTTTGGGAGAAAATTGACTCCAATTGACTCTTTCTCCCCACCCCACCCCCGCCCTGCTCCCTAGAACATCATATGAGTATGAATGGGCCTTCCATGTTTACACAAAAGAAAAATACATACAAGAGGCTCTTTTTTTGTTTTAATGTTCTTTAATTCCCACCACAAAGTCTTTAAAACACAAATGATTCATTTTAACAAAAGAGGAGTACATGAAAGCTGTGTTTTCATGTCTCCCTCTTTTGTGTAATATTCACTCCTTCCTTTGTGTATCAAATTGCCTCACACAAATTGTTGTTGTTGTTTAGTCGTTAAGCTTCACTCCATCCTTTGTGTATCAAATCGCCTCACACAGTTCTCATCCTGTTGTTGTTGTTTAGTCATTAAGTCGTGTCCAACTCTTCATGACCCTATGGACCAGAGCATGCCAGGCCCTCTTGTCTTCCACTGCTTCCCGAAGTTGGGTCAAATTCATGTTGGTAGCTTTGATGACACTGCCCATCCGTCTCATCCTCTGTTGTCTCCTTCTCTTGCCTTCACACTTTCCCAACATCAGGGCCTTTTACAGGGAGTCTTCTCATAAGACGGCGAAAGTATTGGAGCCTCCGCTTCAGGATCTGTCCTTCCAGTGAGCACTCAGG